AAATGATTCCTTAACAGACTTCTAGTATCTTGCACAAACCCTTTTGAGGTAAAAAAACGGTTATCCAGATTTTCTAAGCAAAACTAGCATTTTCCATACACATCAATAGTTTCATCATATCAATATGTCTTTAAAAATTCTTATCCAACTTCCAGAGTCAATTCCTGTCCTTATTACAACATAAGGGTATTTTTTGTAATTTTACCTAATCGAAGTGTTCTCATAATTTATCATCCAAGTACCTTTAATGAAAGATATTATAATTTACCTATTCAGGACTGATTCCTTTATCATTCAATCACAGAACTTGTAATTCAATAGAGTCTTAACTAATTTATCACTTAACCCGTATTCGGTTCGAATCCATCCAAAATCAAACATGCATAATAGACCAACCATATATATTCATACATTTATCCATTATCAACATGTTTCATAAAGCATAAAGAGGTAGTAATGTATTACCTCGATTTTCGTGCCATACTGATCGACCATTTAAACTCCATTTGAACGTCCTCGATCTTGAAATCAACTTCCAATAATTCCTTAGATACATATCAACAAAAATTTCATCAAAAATAGAACTTAATTACGTAAAACGGATTGAATCTGGTGATAAATCAGTGAAAACCAGCTTACTGGGTTTGAATTTGATGAAACGAACTTCAAATTCGGATTCAGGACGTCGAAAAACATAAAAAATGACTTTTCGAAAGTTTTAACTTTTTGGTCAGAGTCAAAGACAAAGTCAAAGGGTTTGACTGATAATTTTGAGGTTTTTGAGTCCGAATTTGGCAAAACAGACTACAGAATCGAACTCAGGACGTCGAAAAACATCAGGATAGGTATACCCGGAAAAAGTCAACGGTCAGTCAACGCCTGATCAACGATGGTCAAAGGTTCGTCAATGGCGATCAACGATCAATAGTCAACAATGATCAACAGTAAACGGCTCGATCCAGTCGGCTCGGCTCAAACGACTCGGCTCAAACGGCTCCCCAGGCTTCCAGACGAAGCCCACTCTAAGGTGGTGGCGCGTGCGATGCGTGAACAGTATTACGGTGTCTGAAAAATTCCCAAAAATTTTCTAAAAAATATTTTATGGCATTTTGAGGCACTTACCAAGCTCGGCTCACAATTTTGAACGGTGGAGAGCTCGATTCCGAAACATCAAAAACTTTGACTTTCTCACCCCTCCAAGCATCGGCGACGACGGAGACACGGAGGACTCTAGTGGACTCGGAACGATGCAAGGAACACGATGGTGCGGGAGGTGTCGAAAATGGGTGGCCAGATCGACGAAAAACTAACGGAATTTGAGTTAAAATCGATTATACTTCCGATTGAAATTAACGACGAACGACATCAATTCACGATAAGAGGTTTGAGGGGTTTTGTTCATCTTTCGACAACGAACACGATGGTGGTTTCGGTTTGTCGAATGGTGACCGGACGGTGAGTAGATCGGAACTCAAAGGAGTGTTGAGGGAAAGTGGAAAATGGGAAAAATCTGCAGAATCTGATTGGAGAAATGATACATATTTTCAACATATAAGAAAAATAGTTAAATTCAGGACTAGATCATTGAATTTCCTGAACTTCCTAAAATGATCTGTCAACTTTGAAATTTTACAATTTAATCTTTAATTTCTCCAAAATACCACTTTGAATTCACCACTTTATAATTATACAATTTAGCCCCTAAATTGTAGTATGACAATTTTTGGGATCAATTTCAATGAATATTATGATGATTGAGACTTGTATCAATTATGTACTTTTTTTATTTAGTTGTTGATGAATTTCATTAGGTATTGACCTTAAATATTATGTTGTAGTTGATTTGAATATTTTGTTTCACTTGATATTGTGGTATTTAACTTATATATATGTTATGACTTATGATATTTTTATACATTTTAATATCGTGAACTTAAAAAGAGTATTATATATATATATATATTGCTTTGAATATTATATAAAATTTTTAAAAAATATTATGTTATATAAATCGGTTCAACCGTGGTTTAACCTCGGTTGAACCGGTGAACCAATAGCTTTACCAATTTAAGGTCCAGTCCGGTTTTAAAAATATTGATTATTAGCAATTTAAAAGTGGTTAGTTGGTAAATTCACAGTTTCAAAGGAGGAATTTATGAGGGAAATGAAGGGGGAAAAGGGTTAAAGCAATGCATACTGGAGAAGGGGAAAAAAGGCTTTTTGATGGTCTAATAATGAATAGATATTTAATTCCGAATGAGGAAAGAAAAGAAAGGAGAAACCATTTAAAGTTCCTAAATGAGACGAAAATAAGGCAAAGCTGCATCTACATCAACCAATGGACTTTTCAAAAACAATTTTGTTTTCAATATGTTGGTAATAAAGTTGTTTAATTTTCTAAAATGACTAAGGGGTTTTCTCACCTCTTAATGAAGACTATACTGAATAAAACAGTAAAATATTGCTGAATGATTCAGTATTAAAGTATATTCTGAATCATTAAGCACCCGTTATTTTACCATAATACCTATTTTTTCACATGTTGTCTTATTAAACAATCATATCTTATAATATAATATAATAAATCATTATGAAGGTAAAAATGAAAATAATCATAATTCAGATTGTACATTCAGAACCATTATCAAACAACATGTCACATTCAGAGCCAATTCATACAGAGCCTTTGAATCATTCAGACCACTGAATCATTCAGACCACTGAATCATTCAGACCACTCATTTTATTTTATCAAACAACCCCTAAATGATCATTACATATTTATTTTTAAAGTAATTTCTATTTTAAATATTTCTTTATGGGTGTTATATGTACTATTAATCACTTGCTAATCTTTTCTGTGATATCTAAATTTGGCTGATTATGAATCAAATACTTCCCAAAGAAATGAGAATTCTCCATAATTTCCACACGCCAAAGATTAGTAATAAAAGAGTAAAAGATCTCTTTCATATATATTTAGATAGCTATTCCTATAACGAGATTTTCAGTTTTCTTTTTTAAGGACTTTTGATGCAAATTTAGTTTCTCAATATACTTGCTTTTGTTCCACTTTATTTAATATGATAAATTTAGTTAATGAATTGCAGTATATATATATTTATATATACTAGTTTCCTTATCTATAAAAGGAAAAACCCAAGATGCATATAAGTCAACAGATCATAGTATTAATTAATTAACATATGATCAAATTATTTTTCAATCATTGTATCTACTAAATCATGTAACGTTGTTGCACCAATTATCTCAAAGTAATTATGATGTTATATGATCATTACTTTTAATATTATTAAAAATAATGCAAAACCCATAGAAAACCCACCAATATCTTTAGGTACAAGGTAACATGAAGAACAATGAATTGGTAAGTAACAAAACACTTACTGACTATAAAATATCTCAGCTAGTCTGTGGTGGATGCAAATGGATTTTAGGGTGGGTATTGGAGGTCGAAATTATTTATATTAATTGTTAATTTTATTAAAAGTGTCTATGCTGAAATTTTATTTATATTTATCTCATATAAAAAATTTCTATAATTAATGTATATGTATTGACCCTAAAAAAGCATTTCTAAATGCACCACTGAATCTAGTTGTATGATTTTTTTAGGTAAAAGGGTAATTTTGAGATATGATGGCTATAAAATTGAAGGTTGTTTAAGCTTGAGGTTAGCACGATGATTGATATATGATAGTAGTTTAATTTTGATATCAGAATTTATCATATCACAATCAATATGTTAACGTTCAGATTATAATATCGTCCATTTTTCAACAGAAAATGACGAGTTTGGAATATAATGAATAGTCATGTGATCATTTTATAACTTTAATAGTCGGGAGACTCAACAGAATAACACTCTATAGTCTGATGATCATTTTATAACTTTTAACAATCAATGAACTTAATAAAGTAGTACCCTATTTATGTATTAAAATAAAGCACTACCCTATTCATGTATTAAAATAAAGCAGTATCATTTTCTAATTTTTAATTTTTTTGACAATACACTCCGTGCAAAAATAACTGTTTGAACCCGATAAGAAAAATGATAAGATTAAATTAAATTTGTTTAAAATAATTTTTATTTTTTTTTAAAATTTAGAAACCCAACAAAAAACCAGAAACCCGAGAATAAAAAGCGTGTGTCCCGAAATGTGTCTTCAAAGGTGCGTCCACCATGGCATTGGGTCAGCAAAATCTCTGGAAGGCACATCTCGTGCAACGTGCCTTTTTTCTCTCTTCCTTAAAAGGGTGTTAGATCGATAAATATTCAAAGAAAAGTGTCTGGTTGAAGATATTTAATTTTTAGAGTATTTTTAGGTCAAATTGCCCAAGTTTAATACACAAAACATGCATCACTTCTCCCTGCCCCGAACTTCTTTAGACGATAGGGTCATTTTTATGTGAGGAAAGATAAACTTATAAAATTTTAAAATAAAATAGATTTATAGATTTTAAGAGGATGAAAATATATTTTTAATAAAAATATAAAAAAATAATTAAGATACATAAAATTTATTTATTTTTAGCGGAAGGAGTATCTTTGTCTGGATTCATCCATGGCCATAGGGTAGGGTTGGAGTGTGAAGTGGGAGCAGTGGATGGTCCTTTATCCAATTAAGCAAAGGCAAAGCAAAGAGCTTCCTGCATCAGCTGACCATATAAATGTGATTAAATTGCAAAATGAGGATGCAACCACACTTGGCAGACGCTACTTTTGCATATCTAACACGTCTCCTTTGCAAACAGAATTAAATTTATGAAATGAAAATATAAAAATGAAATTCCAAATCTGAAGGCATGAAATTTCAAAATGAACTCATTTATGGAAACGGGTCAACATCTGGCCGAAACATGTAAAGTATAAGCTTACAAAACCTCCCAGAACGCACCAAATGAAAATCCACTGTCTCGCATTTACGCTTCCTTTTTTTCATCATATAATTATAACCCACCCTTTGCCTTTGCCTTCCATCATTTCCCCAAACTACCTCCACCTCCCCTTCAAGCCACCCCCTTTAATTCCTTTAAACTCCTCTCTTTAATTATTCAACGACACTCACACTGCTCCGTAAAACACAATATACGTTCATTGTTTGTTTTCAAGTTTTACTGTTAAAAACTAAAGAAAAGAGATTCGTATGGGGAACTGTCAAGCAGCTGAGGCAGCCACCGTGGTGATTCAACACCCGGGGAACAAGATCCAGAGGATTTACTGGTCTGTTAGTGCTAATGAAATCATGGGTTTGAATCCTGGCCATTACGTTGCACTCGTGGTTACCTCCCCGACTTTAAAGAACGAAAATGGTACGCCGGTTAAGCAGCTCAAGCTCTTGAAGCCTGATGACACTTTGTTGATCGGCCATGTTTATCGACTCGTCAGCTTTGAAGGTGATTCCCTTGCTTACTACTTAAATCTCTTACTTGCATAGCTTGTAAAAGATCCTGTTTTTTCGTTTTCTTATGTGCTTAATATTGGGGATTCTTTTGAACAGATGTTCTGAACGAATTTGCTGCAAAGAAGTGCGTGAAACTTGGGAAACTGTTGAAAGAAAATGGAGGGCTTGGGCTTGGCATGGAGTTGAAGAGAAAGGATTCGCCCAGAACTGCTTCCGATATGAACACTAAACTTAACTCGAAACCTCAGAACAACAGTGATGTTAAGGTAATTAAACTAAGCTCAAAGCCTTTGAACACTGTATGCGTGAACTACTCTTTCAAGTTTCCTGAAAATTAACAAAAACTTTTCAGGGAAAGATGAGCTAAGCTTCTGAAACAAGTATAGTATTAATTTGGGTCTCGAATTTCAAGAAATTTAATTCATAACCTTAATTATGTGGTCATTTGCTTCCAAGTCTTCTTCTTTTTTTTCTGCAGAATTTGTCATTTCGAGGCAGAAAAAAGTAAACTTGTATGGTCTGAAAAGTAAAAAAAAAAAAGTTAAAAAGGAAGATCTTCATCTGCAAAGGGCGTAGTATTTCCCCCACTTTCATCTTTATGAATTGATAAGTTAAAAAATGTAATCGTCTGAAAACTTAGAAGAATCTGAACTTCGTTTAAATGACAGATCTCGAGGCATATTTCTTCTTTTTTTTTTTTACAAATTTAACACACTTTTATGTTGAAAATCGTTTAACTAATTGTTTTGGTGTAATTTGGCACTTTCCCCCTATATTGTTGAGTGTTAGATGTGTCAGTAATCATTATAAATATTTTTTTTAAAATTGTTGTTAGCATAAAAGTACTTTATGGTTTGTTTGTATGCAATTAGTGGTGAAGGTGTGCACGTGTGTGTGCCTACAAAAAAGCCTAATTAAACAACTAGGTTTAGGTGGTTGATAAATTGGTCCATGAGAATTTAGTCCAATATCTTGTCTTCTTCGCATGGGTGTGGTGTAATGCAAATGAATGGATAAGACCAATGAATAGGATTCAGAGGTACTGGAAGCTTGGTTTCAAATTTGACTAGGAGAGCCCACAAACTTTTTCATGCAAATCAAATAATGGAACCCCTCCAAACAAAAGTTTCATGGAATTGTCATTCTCTTATGGGTGCCATTGTCTACTTGTCTTTGTCCTTTAATGTTTTGCAGGTGGAGCAGGAAGTTAATAGAGCCGGAAGCAGCGGTGGTGGCGGTAGGTACATGGGCAGACATCACGGCGGGGGTGGGCAATGGAGACCAGCGCTGCAGAGCATTGCAGAGATTGGAATTTGAAATGCAATGTACAGTTGCATATTGCAGGCTTCTTCTTCTTCTTCTTCTTCTGTCATTCTCTGCCCCATTGCCTGCACCAATAAAAAGCAAGCAACTATATATATATATATATATATATATATATATATATATATATATATAAAAAGAAAAACCCTTCCTTTCACTCTTTCCAACACCTTCATGGTATGGTTATCTTTTTGTCGTAGGTTTTAGAGAGGTAGAGTTTGTGTTAGATGTAAAACCATTTGGACTTTTAGAAGATTATAAATGTAATGATCCTTTTGTCATTTTCATTTGATTCTCTTTCCATTTTAATGTTCAAAGCTTCTCAGACTCTCTGAAACTCAACCGCTTTGCGTTGTTGCATTTCACACATTTAAATATCACCACTTGTTTTCTCATGTTCTTGGGGGTTATGATTGTTGAGAGAGTTTTACTCAAATATCACCTCCATCCAAATAAAAGGCATATAGGTTCCGGCAAATGCCAGTGGTCTCTCCACTTAGAATGGCCTTTTTGCCAAAAAAGAATTTATAAAAGGACTGGTAATAGTGATTTGTTTAAAATTCCAAATTTGAAAGTAGGAGCAATTGATCAATCATAAACATCCAATGGATCTTTTCTTGTATGATTTGCTTTCAGCTGTCGTCTAAATAGCCATATTGTGGGTTTGATCTGGTGCGTTCTCTCGATTGCCTATTAATCGAGGTTGGATAATATACAGATTAAATTATTTTTCAATTTTTTAAGAGAGATTGATTTGCTCAATTTTTAAATTGGAGACTTAAAGGGTATTTAAATCAATTAACTATTATTTTAATATTTTAGACAAATGTTATTTTTTTTTCAAATGTACAAGAATTTAAATATTTGTTTTTATAATTAAAGGATTAAAATAGACCTTTTTATATAATATAGCCATAGGAACTTGTAATGGACTTTGTCCATTATACAAGACATATATATCTTGGAATTTATTATTAACATATATATATTATTTTTAAAATTTAAATGTGAAGGATTTTTTTGCTTCCCTAACAAAGGTAGTATTGTAAAGTTAAAGCTTGAGCTGTTTTAATAATGAGAGTCATCATGACAGATATTTGGTAACCGAATATCTTCAGCTTCAATCTTTTAGGAGTTGTATATATATATATATATATATATATATATATATATATATATATATATATATATATATATATATATATGCATATATATGCATCATACGTTCATTATTTAATGCTTTGCAAGAGAAGTGGTACATTTGAAACCTCCAATTGTTTGGACCAAATTATACATCTTTCGATCACATGATTCAAAAAATATACACATTTCACCTTATTTAAATCCAACTTGATTTTTTGAGATAAAATTCGGATTCGATCTCATCCGACCCGAAATAATAAATCTATTAAAAATATTATTTTATTCAATAATCATGTATATTTAATTGAAAAAATAATATATATATATATAAGTATTATTTTAATTATTCCTAACTATAAAGTAAAATTATATATTTTCGGATGGGACCGGATATTTTTCACCCTAAACCTAAACTTGACTTAACTCGACCCGAACATAACTTATAAAAAACCTGACCCGACTCAAACCCAAAATTTTTTAAAAAATATTTCTAAGCAGATCAAGTTGAATCGAATCAAAATCTGTTAGATTCGAATCTCGTGCACATCCCTAATCAGAGAAGCTCAAGTAAAAAACATTTGGGCTCTGTCTTCAACCTATAAATACACGAAAGGGCTGAATATTAAAAAAATTTGTTGCCCTCTCTTAAACCTATAAGTACATGAAAGGGATGTATATTAATTTTTTTGTCTTTCTGATTTCTCAAAACTTTGTCGTTATTAAATCAGATTAATCTAGGTCGTACATTTAGTTTTGGTGAATGAATCTCCAACGAGAATTCCAAAGCTTTATCCCAACTAATTCGGATTAATATGGGACGCACATTTAGTTTTGGTGGATGATTCTCTCAACGAGAATTTTCTACATATAAAATACCTCAAACTCAAAATTTACCATAGTTATCAAAACCGAACCGGACGGATTAGTTCGACCAATTGAACCAAGAACCAGTTGCTTGTCCGATCCGGTCAACTTCCAAAACCAGTTCTGCAATGAACCGGTGTAAACTGACTAAGAACCGACAAAACCGACTGAAAACCGATAAAACCAGCTTAGAACCAACAAAACCGGCTTGAACCGCCGGTTCTGTTTTAACTATTTTTTTTTACTCCTTTTAATAATTTTGAATATCAAATTACCTCTATTATTTATGGAAATCAATTGGGATGCTCTTCTATGTTTATTAACCATGTGAGATTATGTTGTTATCCTATTTTTACTCTTTAGACTTTTGAACATGCAGTTCTCCACTCTTCCGCCAAATTACACGCTTTTCTATCGCGTTTTCTCTCATTTGTCCAATTTGGAGCTCAAACTCCAAGTGTGACGAATATGGTTTTCGTTTCTATGAGTTTCTCAAGCATCAAAAGATTTTGCCTTCTGACTTTAAGCTTTGATCATCAATCTTCCAATCAAATACTACCAAATCATTAGAACTAAAGTTAACGTTTTTCTGTAGTGCTGTAGTAGCAGAAACACAGTTTCGATGAGCTCTGTGTTGTTGCCTGCGCATTACTTATTCTGTCAACGGGATTGACATCGACACTGAGAAGTAATAAATTGATCTGATAAACATGTGAACTTGCATGAAGTTCAATTGTGAATGATTTGGCAAAGAACCAACACTGTGTTCCGTTAATACAAATTTGATTAGGCTTTGGTAATTTGAGGACGGTGTTGTAATCTTTGCAGGGTTTACAGATTACAACCAAATGCTCTTACCCTGTTGCTTGTATCTCACTCTCAACTTTGAATTTTGTGATTCTTAGTTGCATTTCCCATATTTTGTTGTTCGGTGATGTATAATATTGTAAACTTAAAAAAAGTGTTATATATATATATATATATATTAATTTGAATATTATGTAAAATTTTAAAAAATATATCATTTTATATAAACCGGTTCAACCCGGTTGAACAACGGTTGAACCAGTGAATCAGTACCTTCACCGGATTAAGGTCCGGTTCGATTTTAAAAACATTGAAATTTACTTAAATAATATCAAGTTGCTTACCACTCGAATCAATTCCGTTGGTCGAACAATAATTCTTCCGTTTGTATTCATTACTTCAACCAGCTCCGTTTAAAATAATCAAATTCAACCTTGAGACCTTAATAATGGATTTCTTTTTCACGATATTAGGATGTCAATTAGAGGATTGAACAAAAGTTGAATTCAAGCGTGCAGAGACAGAGATAACCAGATTTGATTGAAAAAACACATTTAAGCTATATCTCACTCTTTTTACAAAGTATTAATTGTTCCTACATATTATTCTAATTTGTTATATAGTTTTCTCAAGTATTTCAGGGATTTGGAAATCAATTCAATTTCAATTTCAAGAACCGTTCGATCGCGCAAGGCACGCTACCTCTTTCAAACTAGTTATTTGGTCCAAGATTTCGCAACAATTCATTACATCCACAACAATTTTCAGAGGAAATTTTAACATACTAATTCACAAGGGGGGAGGGGGAACATTGATTATTAAAGCAAATATGTTTTTGAAGTCAAGACAATAATGCTGAGAGTTAACATGGTACATCCTTACATTAGCAAAACCAACAGAAACCTTCAATAATGAGATGGACCAGATTCAGCTGATGGCCTTGGCGCTGCTGGGGCAGAACCTGATGACGATGTAGATGCTGGTGATGCGCTTGTTGAAGGGGCACTCACAGGTGGTGGAGGCCTTGGTGGTCCAGAATGTTGATACTGTTGCGGTGGGCCACGAGCCGGAGGCATTGCTGAATGAGGAGGAGGATACTGCTGATAAGGTGGCATCAGTTGCATGTACCCATATGGTGGATAATGCTGATGAGGATATTGCCCAGGTGGCAGAGGTGGGATAGCTTGATAGGGATAATGTTGGCCTTGTTTTTCTGGTCCAGGTTTGTTCTCTCCATCATGGGACGGAACAAGGGCACCCATCCTTTGAGGATCCATTGATGGATAGTATGCTCTGTCGAACTGAGGTGGTGGTGGGATGTTAAAATACTGCATAGGTGGGGGTTGGTCCTGCATGCCAGGCCCAGATGGCTGGAATTGATTCTGCTGCTGAGATATTACTGCTCGAGGCAACATTCCACTATGAGCCACTGCAGCTTGTTGCCTAGCTCCATCCGAGGTCTCTGAATCGGGTCTTGGTGCCTGGGGCTTCCCCCACATTAGCTTTAGCCTAAGACCCTTTATGACTAGCTTGCTAGAAAGCTCTTCTGCAGCCTTCTCAGCACCTTCTCTGGTTGTGTACGTGATGAAGGCACATGCCTTGTCAAGGACCATCCTTATCGATTCAATTTCACCATGGGCATAAAAGTTATCCCTCAAATCCTGTTCAGTAATCCTTTTATCCAGACCACCGACGTAAAGTGTCTTAATGCTTTCATCCTCGGGAGCTTCCAGAGAAGGCATTTCACCAGCCTTGTTAAGTAGCTTCAGAGCCACAGGATCATTCACCCTGGGCATGAATAGAGAGTCATTCTCAATATTGGCAAGCATCATCTGCTTGTGCAAGTATATTACGTTGTGTCAATGAATTGCAACATTATCACTAATATCTAAATGATGAGGAAATAAAAAGTAAACTAAAAAACACGAGGGCAGAATAGTTCATGCCTTCATGACCAGTGACACCGCTTTTCCCAGCCAAAAGCATTTGATAATTAACACAACAAATTCACACAAAAGGCCAGAACCAGTGAGGGAAAGGACATGCTGTTAAAAAGACTAAATAATATCAAGTTCATGACGAGACCATCCCAACTCTGTGACCAAATAAGAAGGGATGTTCTTTAAGGGCTAATGCCTAAACTATCTTCCAGAGAGTGCTCATAAGATGAAAGCTAAGTTCATTTAATTTTTTATTGTTTAAAAAATAAAAAAGAGAAAAAGAGCTTACCCATAGTAGCGGTCTTTTATATTTTGCTGGGACAACTCCCCAGCTTCTGGCATCTCATGCCTATAAGGGCACTCGGCACCTCTAGTACATTCACCCCGCACATAGAAACTGCAAATATGTGCTCGGTTTCTTTTGTAGTATGGTGTTGTTCTCTGAAGTTTCATAATAGTGTCATTTGGCCGTACCTTCCCATATGAGGATTCATAGTCTAAACCGGCTCTTGCCTGCAATCCATAA